GTCATCTGCCATATATGGACTATTCTTCCTTATTAGGCAGCCAGGGGTCAAAGGTGGGATTTGAGCCAGAACCCCCATCGCACTATACTACTAGCCGGTCACCCAGAGCGGCTAGCTCAGCGTCAGACAAATGACCTCCCTCCTCGTCTTGAATTGTGGTCTTCACATTGTCGATAGCATCACTTTGCGCGACGTAAAGAGTGATGGTCTAGCCAGGAAGAGTGTGACGAAAATCTGCATCAAACCACGGAGGCGAAGTACCAAAGTGAAGAGTGGGCTCCTGCTTCCGACTGCGTGCCGGCGAAAATCAAACGCTGCTGGTCTTGGAGAATACCCTCCCTTGATTCGTCGCAGGGAGCTGCAGCGGGTTGAGCCATGGGGGTCTGGGGTCGAATCACGTTGTTTTATTTAAAACTACACCGCTGCCACCAATGTAACGGGTAGCCGAGTGGTAGGCGCGGTGAAATCAACAATAATTACTTTTATTCTACTTCTTTCAGGTACACACCTGAGATATAATTATTAATGAAAGAAGAAGCGGCAAATAACTTTCTTTCTCTCCGGTGCACACCTGGAGGTTGAATAGCTCGTTATTATCAAAATCTCATCTTCTCTTCATCAAAACAGAAATGCTCAGCCGCTTTTATGCAGCAGACGCCGTACGCTTACATACGGAGATGCACTAAATATACATCAGGCAAAGCTCCGTATTAGTTCCGTTCTGCTTCCGTATTGGTCGGGCAGGGATACTACACCTACCATGGCCCTTCTCTGCACAAAGTTGCGAAGTATTTTGTGAAATGAAGTATTCTGCGAATGTTGCGATTTCTTCCAAAACAACAAAAAGTTGGGAAGAAAGTGGCGAGCATCTTTGGGAAAGGGCTACATTGCATACCTAAGGGGGGAAATGTTCCGAAACGTTGTAGTAACTGACTGATAAAAGAGTTCAATATTGCAGAGTGGATGGGAAAGAGGGGTCTGCTCTGAAACCTCATCCTACCTTATAGGGGTATTGAGCACTACTTGTATTTGTAGCAAGGACTTCACACACTTTGTCCTACTGAAGAATAATAATTTTTAAACAATCGTCGAGGAGACAGTATTCTGATTTATTGCCATTGTACAATACTGAAGGATATTTTTTCTTATTGTCTGCAAACATCCAACGCAGCCACTTACACATTTCTGAAACGTCACTGCGTTACTTCAATAACGCACATATTAACACCATTATGACTGTCACCTTTCTCATCAGTGTCATTATGTTTTCTTCATGCATGTAGTTCACTGACAAACCCAAGGTAACTATGGTAATGAAGAAGACTCGAGAGCAAAGGTGACTGAGGTGTGAACCACGAAGGCATCTTCTCCAGGAAACCGAACATCGTCCCGACATCCAGTGTCAATGTTTTCGGGCAGTGCTAGTTGTTGTTGTGACTGTTGATTTATTCTCTGTTTTGTCACGTGGTAGGTCAATGTTGCATCTTGCCGTGCTAGAACTGAGAAGCTTTTTACATGCGTAGACGTACATCTACGCTGGATCCTGAACTATTACTTTGCGTTCTGAAGAGTGAAGTAGAATGTGTTGTCTTTACAGCTAGCTGTTTGGCAATACATTGTATTGGTGACGAAGGTGTGAAATAAATTCTTTGATCTCTTGAATTGATGCAATTTTAAAACGTTTTGTCACCCTCTAATTTTCATGCTGTTTTGACTCTTCACCTAGACTACTTTCTTCGTGTTATTTCTACACTTCATTGGAGTGTTGAATCTGTCAATCCTAACTCTTTGAACCCTATATCTTTATGGTGCTAGAACTTATATTATATCATAAGGTTTGGTTATTGCTGCTTACAATGTCTGCGTCGATAATTCTGCTGATTCCCGAACATTCGCTTGACCCAGGACACACTAGCTGCATACGTAGCTTCCGCGGAGCAATAAAAAACCTTCTGATTCGGAACGGAAGGAGGAACGACACGATGGTACCAGTCGTCGAGTCATAGGCCACGAGTACGCTTCACAACGGTGCGTCTCCTATTCTTCTTTACGTTGCAGGACACCAGCAGTCATCCTCCTGTATTGGCGTTGATCAGGACTATGTTGTCGTTGCGTTGACTCAATCCGTATTCCCCGGACCAGAACTTGCTGCTGTTCTCTGGACAAGCCAGTCAACCCATTTGTTTCGGCTACCATTGTGGGCGAAAAAGTACAGCCAAGTTCCAGATACTCCGTTGGCTGTTTGACACTGCCCTAGTTGTCACCAACTCTCTGTTCGGAATGTCTTCCTCGCGGAACACGTCAGAAGCAGAAGGCCACCAACGGATGACGGGAGCTGAACTACCCAGCTACATGATGCAGTATTTTCCGCCGTTGGACTCACAACGTCCACAGCCGGCTACTGTACAGGGTAAGTGAAGAAAGTCGAACGTTTTGCAACCTGTATGCTCTGTACATAATGCCTTGGTATTATGTGTTTCCGGTAGGCCTTGACAGATTATGCTAGCATGATTTTTCGTATAATTCCTACCAAAATCGAATAATCGCATAATTCGAGGCAAATTGCATACGAATCGCATAAAATTGGAATAATCCGCCTGTTCGCATCAAATTCCATACAGTTGTACATGTTCTACAAGTACAAGTGCAAATAGATGCACCAGGAAGGCATAGATTTACGACTCCCTTGATAACAAAGATATTATTATTATTAGAAAGGAAAAAGACATTTGGAGACGAGTTAAGAGTAACTCTCCACCACTGTAACGGAGATATGTTGAAGCTAGTCGTCAGGACGTCGAATGTCTCAGTACTCTGTCAGTTTTGTGCCTAGTTGTTTCACTTTCTGACTGTATAATATAGTATCTAGTTACAGTGGTGGAGAGTTTTAACTCGTCTCCATATGTCTTTCTCCTTTCTACTTTTATTATTGGCTCAATACCCGAGTATCAAATTATTATTATTATTATTATTATTATTATTATTATTAACAGGTTTGAGGGAAAGAGACAATCGGGAAAAGTGTGAAGAAAAAATTGACTGTCGCCACCAGGACTCGAACCAGGGACCCTCTATTATTATCATTATTACATTAAAACGAAGGTAAGTTATGGGTCGCAAGTATCCACGCAAACACACATCCAGTCATAATAAGGCATTTGTCATAAATATCCGAACGTTTTCGGTCCCTTCTCACCAAGGATTATACAGGGAATGGCTCAAGTTGGAAAGACTAAAACTTATATAGCGGGCGCGGGCGCGGGCGCGGGCGCGTGCGCGTGCGTGCGTGCGCGTGCGCGTGCGCGTGCGCACACGCGCGCGCGCGCGGGCGGGCGGGCGGGCGCGCGGGCGCGCGTGCGTGCGTGCGTGTGTGTGTGCATGTGTGTGTGTGTGGGTGTGCATGTGTGTGTGTGTGTGTGTGGGTGTGTGTGTGTGTGGGTGTGCATGTGTGTGTGTGTGTGGGTGTGCATGTGTGCGTGTGTGCCCGTGCATGAGCTGTGTGTGTGTGTGTGTGTGTGTGTGCGTGTGCATGATCTGTGTGTGTTTGTGTGTGTCCGTGTGCGAGTGCAAGGACCATTAATTTGATACAACTTTTTCGCAACCTTTGGTTGTTTTGGAAGAAATAGCATCTTCCGCAAGTTTACTCATTTTTGAAACCTACTTTGCGTCTTTTCCGCAACTTTGGCCCCATGGCCTAATGGCCGCTAAAACTCCAAAGTTCAAGTCGCATATCATGACTCACACATGTAGGAAAAATACATGCTCTTTGATATGCTGAGGGACAATTCACTATTGTAAAACTACGCACACATCTATGGGACGGGACCACTTCAGTGAGTGTTTTCAAGTATCTAACAATTGCTATCTTTAATATCTTATTTGCACATTGTCAATTTCTGCCTTGCTATGTAACACAGCATTCGATGGGACACATCAACAGGTACAGATAGTGCTGCAAGCTGCAGGGACTAATGTCAGTCCAGTACAGCCTGATGCCAACAATAGCTTGACACAGCCTTTTTCAAACCAACAGCAGCGTGTTGGTCAGCAGCACAGCCATATTGGACAACCTGTCAACAATGGCGACTTAAGAGGAGTGAGCAGTAGAATTGAGGGACTTCAAAGATCATCAATAGTGGAGTCTGCAATGAGTCTCCCACCACATCCTCAACCAACCATTGGTCTTATGTCATCACCAGCCCAGTTTGCTAGTCCCTGCGGCGAGCAAATGAATCACCACGTCCATGCCACTGCTACCAGTGGTAATCAGACATTAGCAGCATACCTGCCATATAGTGTCCCAGCAATGCACGGCAGTATGGCCAGCTCTAACAATCCTGTGGAAATGCACGCCAGCTTTCCACAGACCCCATTGAACAATCTAGCACAAGGCGTCGATTATCAATCGGACAACCCCTCTGCTCCTCCAATGTTTGGCGGACATCCCAGAAGTCTGTGCGAATGGCGTGTGAACAACGGTTTACATTTTGTGTAGGTTGGCTTTCTATAGTGTCACCGAACTAGCGCAGCACATAACAAACGTTCCTCTCCAGCAACAGGGCACTACCGAACATGCCACACAGGAGGATGGCAACGTCCACATCTGCCACTGGGACCAGTGTACACGCACCAAAGGATTTAAAACCAAATACAAGCTCGTCAGCCATATACGAGTTCATACAGGTGAAAAACCCTTTGTCTGCGATCATCAAGACTGCACACGCAAAGCATTCGCAAGATCTGAAAACCTGGTGACACACTACAGAGTCCACACAAAGGAAAAGCCGTTTCTCTGCACCTTCCCGGACTGTAAGAAAAGATTTTCAAATTCCTCGTATCGAAAGAAGCACATGGTCGTGCACACGAAAGATAAACCCTACCGATGCAGGGCAGCAGGATGTACGAAGAGCTATACACACCCGTGGTCGCTTAAAAAGCACTCCAAGCAGCATCATGCTCAAAATGCAGCCAATGGCAGTCGTGCTCTTTCCTACAGGACCATGGACACCAGCGCAGAGAACAGTGGCTTGCCGTCTGCGGATGGTTCTATTGCTGCGGACGGAGAAAGTGATCATGGCAGCTCGATTTCATCCGATGAGGTACTTGCAGACCAGCACCACCACCATCAACAAGAACCGGAAGAACAGCAGCAGCAGCACCAACATCAACAACACCATTTTGCACTTGTGACTTGTACGGACCAGTGTCAGCCTGCACAGCCGCAACACTTACCACTGGGAACGTCCTCAAGCATGCTGACTGTGAATTCAGCATCCACGTCATCTCTGCCTCAGTTACCTTATCATTTGCACTCTGCCCAGGCTACTGCTGGTAGTGATTTGGTCAACAGTGCACCGCCAACACCACCTGGACAGCCGTCTTATAGCTATGCCGCGTTCAGTGAAGTATGCCAGGACAATGCCGGAAAGGGTGACCTAGTAGTGGCAAGCCTAGGCAGTAGAGCAACAAGAAATGATCTCTTGTCTACATGTTCCATACAGACCTTCCCACAGCCGCCGCCACCACGACAGCCAGAAGCAGCAGCAGCAACAGAAGCAGCAGCTGTGCCAGCAGCTGTGCCAGAACTGACTCAAAACAGACAGCTTGTTCGGCAGCAACATACTCACTTTCAATACCCGGCAGCATGTCAGCAGTTGCAGCAACAACCTCATCATCAACATCCAGATCAGCAGCTCCAGGGCCAGGATCATCATCAGCATAATCAGCATCATCAGCATCAGCAGCACCAGGAATCACATGACCAATGTCAGCAGTCGCAAATCTATCCAACTCACCACCATCAGCTGCCGACGCCCACACACACACACAGCAGCAACAGCTATCGCTGGTGGCTCACCCACCGCAGCACCAGTCATCACCTGTGTCTCAGATGCACAACCATCAGGCACAGCAGCAGTCTACATCACAACAGGAACGGGTACAGGAACCCTTGCCTCAGCATCAGCAACAGCAGCACTCTCTCCCATCGCCAATGCAGCTGCAGCAGCATTTTGCACGGCATTCGGCAACTGCTCAGCCAACACTATTTCATGCAGGACAATTGCTGCACCCCGTACTGCCCTCGCAGGTCGCTCACTCTCTGTCTGCACCAAGACACCTCCCAAAAAGGCAATACTAAGCAAACAAACATTACACGGCTTGAAAACACTGTTCTCATGAGCTGAACAACAGCCTTTTCAAAATGGCACTGCAGCCAGCTTCGTGAATGGATGTGTTAAAAACTGTCCTTAAGGTCTTTAAGGCACATCATCAATTTCAACCAAACAATTTTGTTATTATTATCAAGATCTAGCTAACTCCATATTTTAACGGAGTTGACAATTCTTTTATTATATCTAATTCAAAAAGAGGTATGAAGTGTACAGCTGCAAGTTTAATACTCGCTGTGCATAGCTTTTATGATATTGAATTATCGTATCAACGCTGTCCAACGCTGAATGTTTTTAAGGTTATTTCATTAGAGATGGAGCTGGGATGTTGCTCATTAAGCAGTGGAAAAAGTCAATCAGACGACTGCCACATTTGTAGAAGTTCCTTTTTCAAATGTCTCGTCAATTTCATTTTCCGCATGTTGTCTTCACTAACACTACCCATGATGCTGGCTACATGTATAGCGTCAGTAGAAGTGCAGCTCAACATCCTAATCCGCACTGCCTTCAGTCTTGTTTCTACCCACTCACTGTCAGGATCGGGTATTTCCCCTCCAATTAGTAACCATAGTACCCGTTTCTTTTTAGTTCACTTTTTCGGCTGATCTGCTCATCCCGCAGAAATTTGTCAATCCTAATGCTGGCCTACACTCATATCGTATCTGTTTTCAAAATGATGAGAAGGTGTCTTCCTCTTATTCGAATGGTAATTTGTGTTGGAGTACTTGAAGTACACATGTTCAAACGCAACACAGAAAACAATACTCGATAATGACGTATTCGTCTGCAAAATCGTAAGAAAGTAACTTGAGACGCTTCTTTTGAAGTCATTCTTGGCTAGACTGATAAAGCACGAGACAGGAAGTTAGTGGTACTATGCCTTGCATATTCCAGTACATCATGTATGCATGTTCCATTTGTAGTTATAATAACAAGATGGTGGAAAAGCTAGGTGTCTGGAGATTTAGTAGTTTGTCACTACAATCATGTTGTCATACTCCTACCTCCGAAAGGATGTTAAATTGTGCTTCAAATTTTCAACCACCAAATTATGCCAATAATTATGCCAGCATAATCCGCCTGAGCCTATCCATGGTCGCCGATCTGGGTGAGACTGGTGTGTACGTCGTTGTGCGAAGTAAGCACAGTACAAGTGTGCTGTGTTGATAAGCGAGTACCGCCAGTGCGACCGGACGTCTCACATTGATAACTGCGGAAATTCCTCAGCTGGTGGCAAAAGCTGCATTGAGCCCTGGGCTTCTTTTAGTGCGACGACGTGATCAGGGTTCCAATTCCAGCGCCAAGTTTCGACGTGTTGCTAGGGTGTTGGTGCTTGTGGTGGGCATGCAAGTTTGCTGAATTTGCATCCATTTGTTTCGAAAAAAGCTCAAAAGTTGCTAATATCGCAACCCAAAATGAGCGAGTTCTGGTGCATAATGTCTAATGATGCCAAAAATCACCAGAAATGGAGCGGAAATAGACAACACTGTGGCACAGCACAACTGCGTGAGTTATAGGGAAATGAACAGACTTGGAATAAGTCATTGTCCTTATTGTTAAACCTTCGCACAGCATTCATGACATAGCGGCATGCTCAGGGCTGCCACATACATGTACATGTACATTTGTATGTACAGTAAGATCAGGCGTAGAAGTCACTTCGGCAAAGAACACTTTTTTTAACTGAATACCACAGAACCATCAGACTTACATGACTTAGGCTGGAAAATGGGCAAATACAGGCTAGATATTTTGCAGATTTTTGAAAGAACGCACGTACCATTTTCTGCATGTTTTCCAAGTCGTGTAATCGCATTGTAAGGTGCTCTCCATGATCGTGGAATAAGAACAAAACGACAAACGCCGTTCAACATTTTAGAAAAATTCTAGGCTGTGCTTTGAGCTCATGCGTTCTTTGGCGCCCGATCTTACTGTTCTTCGTGAAGTACACTTGTCATGATGATTTGATGCTTAGCGATTCTTGTTGAAGCGGAGCACACTACTGAAGAATATTTTTTCTTATTGTCCGCAAACATCCAACGCAGCCACTTACACATTTCTGAAACGTCACTGCTAATCCTCCGTAATAACTCACATATTCACACCACTATGACTGTTACCTTTCTCATCAGTGTCATTAGAATCTGATGTTTTAGTCATGTAGTTCACTGACAAACCCAAGGTACGGGACGTAACCATGGTAATGAAGAAGACTCGCAAAGGTGACTGAGGTGTGAACCACGAATGGGGTCTTCTCCAGGAGACCGATCATCGTCCCGATATCCTATCCGGTGTCATTTTTCGGGCAGTGCTAGTTGTTGTGACTGACGCGGTCGACGATGTATTCTCCGTTTTGTCACGTAGTAGGTCTATGATTATGTTGCATCTTGCCGTGCTAGACGCTTTTTACATTCTTAGACGTAGATCTACGCTGGATCCTGAACTTTGTGTTCTGAAGAGTGAAGGAGAATGTGTTGTCTTAACAGCTGTTTGCCAGCCTTAGTACATGTATTGGTGACGAAGGTGTGAAATAAATTCTTTCATCTCTTGTTTTGATGCACTTTTACAACATTTTTGCCACCCTTTAGTTTTCATGCTGTTTTGACTCTTCACCTAGACTTCTTTCTTCGTGTTATTTCTACACTTTATTGTAGTGTTGAATCTTTCAATCCTAACTCTTTGAACCCTATATCTTTATGGTGCTAGTTCTTATAAATCATAAGTTTTGTTATTGCTGCTTACAATGTCCGCTTCGATAATTCTGCTGATTCCCGTACATTCGCTTCACCCAGGACACACTAGCTGCATACGTAGCTTCCTCGGAGCAATAAAAAAACCTTCTGATTCGGACCGGAAGGAGGAACGACACGATGGTACCAGTCGTCGAGTCATAGGCCACGAGTACGCTTCACAGCGGTGCGTCTCCTATTCTTCTTTACGTTGCAGGACACCAGCAGTCATCCTCCTGTATTGGCGTGGATCAGGACTATCTTGTCCTTGCTTTGACTCAATCCGTATTCCCCGGACCAGAACTTGCTGCTGTTCTCTGGACAAGCCAGTCAACACATTTGTTTTGGCTACCATTGTGGGCGAAAAAGTACAGCCAAGTTCCAGAGACTCCGTTGGCTGTTTGACACTGCCCTAGTTGGCACCAACTCTCTGTTCGGAATGTCTTCCTCACGGACCACGTCAGAAGCAGAAGGCTACCAGCGGATGACGGGAGCTGAACTACCCAGCTACACGATGCAGTATTTTCCGCCCTTGGACTCAAAACGTCCACAGCCGGCTACTGTACAGGGTAAGTGACGAAAGTCGAACGTTTTGCAACCTGTATTCTCTGCACATAATGCCTTGGGATTATGTGTTTCCGGTAGGCCTTGACAGATTATGCTAGCATAATTTTTCGCATAATTCCTGCCAAAATCGAATAATCGCATAATTCGAGGTAAATTGCATACGAATCGCATAAAATTGGAATAACCCGTCTGTTCGCATCAAATTCCATACAGTTGTATATGTTCTACAAGTACAAGTAGATGCACCAGGAAGGCGTAGGTTTACGACTCCCTTGATAACATGTCCAGTCCACTACAATCAGTGACCAGGGTGACGGTCGTAGCTAGGTCGGACGGTGCGTTGACCCCGTTGAATCTTTGCTACTACAGTACAACGCCCTGTACAAAAAATTCACCTGTTGTTTTGCACAGAACCATCATATACATTAGCAGCATATGTGAGCATAATGCGGCATAATATGATAACTTTTAGCATAAAAATAGCACACAAGCGGAAAAACCGTCAGAGATCAAATTCCATTACACAGTGTTTCACCGTTCAAGCAACGGATCATCAGATGATCCGTTGCTTGAACGGTGAAACACTGTGTAATGGAATTTGATCTCTGACGGTTTTTCCGCTTGTGTGTGATGAAGCTCTGCCTCGCTTGCATTGAGCACTCTCCGCAGTTTGAGACCATTCCCTTGTGTGCGTAAAAATAGCATAATTCTGCAATTTTCTCAGCAATGCGAAAAACATATTTTCACGAAAATATTAGCATAATCTGTCAAGGCCTAGTTTCCGGTATCGGATAAAAACTTGAGAATATTTTCCTGCTAGACATGGTTACTGCCCCGATATATTTTGCTTTGTAAATTTTCTAGTTTTGGTAGTCTAGACTGTATGGGACTCCATATGTGTGTTGTGTGTGTGTGTGTGTGTGTGTGTGTGTGTGTGTGTGTGTGTGTGTGTGTGAAATGGGCTGTGAATCACGGCATGGAACTACATCTAATCCCCGTCTGGCCAAGACAGTGTAAATGTTTATCATGCCTGTTAGAATGGACTGGGATGGAGAGCCAAGGATCAATTTATATCATTTTGTAGCAAGGAAAAGGACCAAGGCACTACAAGTTAAATTAGTATGTTGAAGCCCAACATATGATATGTTAGATTAACGGTCGTAATATGGTCTCAGGTATGTGGTTTGACTACTTTGTGGTGGTCGTGATCTAGTCACCTCCCACCGCTTTAGGAGCTGCATCTGCGCTTCGATCCTAGAGGGTGGTGGGCGTTCCTGCGGATGCGGAAAACTCGACCTCCAGCCGAGGGTCAGGCGAACGGAAAATAATTATAATTTTATGAAATTTTATATGTTTAATGTGGTGCTGCTTGAGTGATGGAGGTGTGTGTGTGTGTGTGTGTGCAGTTAGCGAATTCTAGTTGCACTACTGATACCTGTACAACGTATTAGGGAGCATCTCATAAGTTCGCACTTTTTTTGTTAACGTAACGCATTTCGAATAGACTTTACCCCCCTACCTCCCCCCCCCCCCTCTATTTGAACGTCTTATCGCACATTTTCCGTGTGGACCTAATAGTGTGCACGTCCATGCACATGACTTGTATGCCCATGGTATGCACATGAATGTCAACATGGTCAAAGTGAATGGCATACAGTACTGCATCTACTGAGCAGTGAGCACAAGAACAATGAATGATATGTACACGCACATAAACAGAGTTCCTCCACAACCACTGTGTACTGTAAAAGCTGGCCAGGTACACAGTTTGATGATGCTAGTGATGTGACACTTGACACCTCTGAGTAGCCTGTATGCAAGGCTGATCTCCAAACACAGGCACATAGATCTACACCTAAACACGCTCATTTGCTGAAGCGATCTAGCACTGCATGCACAGTATGTACAAATCCAGAAAATGTGCGAACTGTCATTTTTCTATTCGAAAAGGGCGTTACCCCCTACCTCCGTTTCGAAATGCGTTACGTTTAGAAAAAAAATGCGAACTTATGAAATGCTCCCTTCCATTTCAAGGTTGGGCAATATTAAAAGTAGTTGAGTGCATGAAACTAAATCAGCAGGAAAGCCCAACGGCATTGTATAAGGATTTAGTGAGCAGTTCATCGTCCTCTCCCCTCCCCTCCCCTTCCCCATCCTATGTTGTCATTTAACTTAGAACCTTCCAATTTGGAAGGCTGTTGGTGTGCGCATCCGAGGCGTGCTAGAGCTGATAGCCAGTTAGTTGTAGAACGTCAATACCATCGGTCATTGTCGTGCAAAGTTATCGCATGAGTGCATTGTTTAGTAACTGGTGGTGTTAGTGGACAGTATAGCGTAACTAAGTTCCTTGGTACTTTTTCTTTTCTATAAAATTAAAAAAAGAATTTGTCAGTGAATTTTTGGTATGTTCATGGCTGTGTATAACCAATCGAAAATGAAGTTCAAATTTTCCTTGCAGTATGACTTTGAATTTGGAATTCAACTTATGTATACAGTCGTGCAGTAAGTTTGAATAGGGTGGAAAGGTGGTAAATTATAGTTTGATACGATGAGAAGTTAGTTTGTCACTCATGGTAGGATTCTTAGGCTTAGCGAATCTTTGATGGAGAGACTGGGCTGGACAACGATAGGCATGGTACAAAGTCCACTATCCGACCTGCACTTTAATCTGATGTGGCAGCTAGCGGAATGTACATGTACATACTAGGGTATCAGACCTCAGCAGCTTAGCATGGCCAGTTACTATATCGGACCTTGACAGCCATGTAGAAAGAGGTCCTTGGCTACTTCAGAGAGCAGTGTGTACATGTACATTGTACATTCTGCTTCAACGGTACCTGTATGACACGTGTGCGTGCTTGCGTGCATGTGTGTATAATAATTATTATGTTCATGTGTGTGTGTGTGTGTGTGTGTGTGTGTGTGTGTGTGTGTGTGTGTGGTGTGTGTGTGTGTGTGTGTGTGTGTGTGTGTGTGGTGTGTGTGCATGTGTGTTTGTGTGCCCGTGTGCGTGCATGATCTGTGTGTGAGTGTGTGTGTGTGTACGTGTGTGTGCCCAAGCTGCCCAAGGAGGCAGTTTGGAATTTTTCTGCTCCTGACTTTTTCTTGTTTTTCGAGTACTTTTGGGCGAAAGAAAGGCCTTGAGGGTTGTCTCCAGGGCCAGTAACGTACACAGTGAGCTGCCGACGACGGGAGCCACGTAGCAGGAGGACGAGGCGAGTTTTTTTTGATACCGCCACCTCTTGCTGCGCCCGAAGTCGCCACTCGCGGTGGTGTGACGAGCCCCCGAGTGGAATATCTGCATCCAGCTCCGAAAAGCTATGAAGTACGTCAAGGAGAGGGAGAAGAGTGGGAGAGAGGGACGGCGCTGCTTGACGTTTGGGTCGTGGAATGTTCACTCCCTTGTGGAAAGGAGTGGCGGCGTAGCTACGGCGAGCGTTTCTGGCCGAGTAGCAGAGGACAAGAAATGTCGTCGTGTTGCTGCCGAGCTGCGCAGGTTGAGCGTGGCGGCGACTGGATTGCAGGAGACACACTGGTTCGGCGATGACATTTATGTCGTTGACGGTTTCACTATATTGTGTTCGGGTCGCCCCGTGCCTGGCGATGGAGCTCCGAGCAACAGACGAGGAGAAGGAGTCGCCCTGGCACTCAATAAATTTGCAACAGACGCGTGGAAGAATGGTGGTTCGGTCTGGCGGGCTGTGGGCCCTCGTCTTGTCACTGTACGTCTCAAATTCGCCCTGCTTGGGGGAGAAGTCGTATGGGTGACGGTAGTCAGTGCGTATGCTCCGACTTATGCAGCTCCGCGTGCCAGCAAAAATCCCAGCCCCCAGCAAAAATCAGTTTTACGAACAGTTGCAGGAGGTAATAGCTGGCGTTCCTGACAGGGACTGCTGTATTCTGCTTGGAGACTTCAACGCCCGTGTGGGTTCAGGAACAGCTGACGATGGCTGGAGTGGTGTGCGCGGCTTGCATGGTTTTGGACAGTTGAATTCCTCTGGAAATGAGCTACTGTCGTTTGCAGCAATAAATAATTTGTGGATCTGTAACACCTGGTTCCCCAAGCGGGATATCTTCAAGCGGACGTGGCAGCACCCTGGCTCTCTGCAGTGGCACTGCATCGACTATATCTTGATACGTCAGGATCATCGGCGATTTTGTAGGTACGTGCGCGTTGTTCGCGGTGCTGAGTGTGGCAGTGACCACCAGCTGCTTTGTATAATCTTTGAGTTCCCGCATCGCCCGGTGGGGGTTGCCCGACGTGGAGCGAGTCGGGGGCGCCGATTTAATGTCGGCAAGCTGCGGAGTAAGGCGGTGGCCGAGCATGATTAATATGATTCCTGCGCATCCACGTTACAAGACGTCAACGATGTGGGACGTCGTCCCC